CTTTTAGATAAGAGACGTAAATAAGACGGTACAGTCCATTGAGTCATATACGCCTTAATTCAACACTGCGACAGGACTTCGTCACTAATGACGGCCGCAAGGCTTAATAGAAAAGGAGGAAGACAACAGAAAGAGGCAGAAGGAAGGACGATCTGATAATGGGATTAGATGGAGTAAGAGTATGATGAAGGTATCAATGGAAGCGAAAAGTTGCTGTGCCGAAGATACAGCAACTGGCCCTTTTCCGAATGGTGTGGGGAGGAAGAAACGGTACTCTGGTTTCGAAAAATGTCTTTTGATGAACTTCCGTAAGTGAGGAGAGAATCTCCTTAGACTTCTGTTTCTTCCCCTATCCAGTTCCACCGGGACATTTCACGTATACCAGCGATTGGATGATATCCTCGAACTGAACTATACCGGGATACCTCTATTTGTTCGGAAAAACCGTTTGGGAGATCCAAAAAAAAAACTACAAAAATGTTGCTCAACCATGAACCACAACTATTCACCAATCACTAGTGATATTCGAAACTTTCGACGGTATTGAGATATGGACGCAAAATCCTTCTGTACCTGACAGCTATTTTACAATTCAACCCACTCCGACCGCTCCACTCAAATCGTTCACTTGGCTCCTAATGGCCGTTACTCATCATTCCGAAACTACTAGTTCCCTCCACTGCTCGCCTTAGAAATCCCCAAAAAACGACAAAAACCTTTTTTGCTTCCATCTGCTCCAACTCCCACTCTTGCCGTTTTCGTTTTAATTCGTAATTCTTGGGTAATTTCGAGCGGCGATCTTCCTCAACCACTTGCTCATAGTTCAGCCTGCGTGCTTCTTGCTACAACAAACAACGGTGAGTAGAAAAGTTTTAAATTCTTTTTTAAAAGTTTTTTCTTTTAAAACGTTTTTTCCTTCTAAATCTTGTAAAACTTTTTAAATCTTTTAAATTTTCTAAAAGAATTTTAAATTTTTTAAATTAGCCGTCTTCTTTATTTTCATTCATTGGATTTCCTCCGCCCCCCCCCCTCGGTTCCCCAGCCCTGTGCTCATCCCTTCTTTCTTGTGTCTTCCTATAACTTGTTTCTTCGTTTCGATAGTAAACTGGCATCATCGACGTATGTCAGGAAGTCTGACTCACTATCACCTTGATTCAAGAAGTCATGAACATTCTTGTCATCGGGTAACTGCTGTTGGTATTTGCTACTGCTCCAGTTATTTTCGAGTATTTTCATCTTTTGCAGGGAACGAATACCGACGATTTTCATGTTTTCTACATTTTCTCAGTTGCAGTCAACAGTCACCTGGTTAACGGTATCCTTTATTTTTTATAGCCGAAAAAAAATAGAATGATGCCCAGCTTTCAGAGCTCTTGAATTTTAACTTTAACTTAAAAGAGGTGAAATTTCGGCCAAATTTCATGAAAATACAAAAAAAA